AGAAACGGACACGGCACAGACAATTCACCAAACAACAGCAAAAAGGTAAAATGAAAGGTAACTAAAAGCGAGCAGAAACGTCGACCGCAGGAGCAGCGCCGTGACACGTCCGTTCTCTATGACGTTCAATAGTATGTAGACGTTCAATAGCATGACATTAAAGTCAGGCTCCGGACTGATTTTTCCAAGACAGAAAAACTTGTTTTGACGAAAAACTGGGGAACAGTGAATGAGATACAGATTTTTTAATATTTGAAAACTGGGGGTATAAGGTGTGAAAATGGGCAGTTACGCCCCTTTACGCCACTTTATTTAAATTTTGAGCGACGCCAGAAAAAGCCGACTCTTTTTCATCGTCCTCCCCCCGTCGGGGACCTCGTCCCTCCCCCCTCAGGCAAATCCTGGCGCCACCACTGGATGCGATATGCCGGCATTTTCAGGGGTGTCGCCAGAGCGGGGAAGGGGGCTGGGGGCCAGGGCACCCCCGTCTGTGAGAAAAAACACAATTTGTAGCGAGAAAAAAAATGTATATGTATTTTCTAAATATTTGTAGACTCCAAAATTTATTAAATAAGCCTAAATTGTCATGTTTTTCGGGGTTTCATTCCCCCACACATGGAAAACTTTCGACAGATCTTTGAGAGACGCCGGACCAGACCACGCCAATTATTTTTCATCGTGGACGTCGTCCCCCACCCCTACGGACGTGGCGCCACCACTGGCTTTTTTGCCTTCTGACAAACATGTCTTAATAATAAGCTTAATAAATGTAAACCGACACAAAGCTGGTGGACCTGCTAGAATACCACTCATTCTCCTTAAAAAGTTTGCTCTGGAATTAATAAACCTTTTACCGATGTACTAAACTGCTCATTTCATTTTATTTAAACAGAAACAAAAAACAAATAGCCTATATAAATATGCATAATGTGATGTTTATAATTCTTGATGGAGTACATCCGGAAGAAATTAGTACAAAAAGAAAAAGCACAATTCGTCGGGGAGAAAAAAAAAATATTATGCATGTATTTTTACATATTAATAGACTCTAAAATCGATTAAATAAGCCCTTACACCTAATTTGTCGAAATTTTCGGGAGCATCGCCCCCAGGACCACATTCGTAACCTTTAAATCGAAGCTCGAACACGCCCACTTTGCTTTCGTCGGGGAAATCTGACACCTCGTCGGGGGAACCGCCCCCCTCCCGTCGGGAACCTCGGCCCCTTCCCCTCCCCCTCCCGTTGGGAAAATCCTGACGCCACCCCTGATTCAGAGTAAGTTACAAATAAGGCAGTATGGCAACATCAAAGGTTCATCGACTTGTCATCATTTGGTCCGCCTAGTACATAATTTGTTGTCGGCAGCTGAGGATCCTCATAATATTGGGAGGGTCGTTCAACGGACTTCACTAAAACCTTTGATATCATTAAGCATACCACCTTAATCAAGAAGCTTAACAAAATTTGTGTTCAACACTGAGGAATTAGGATCAGTTTATTGTTGGTACATAAGACCCGTACTTGAACATGTGGATGTCGTCCACCCTGGGTTGACGAAATCAGTATTGCATCAGTCCCCAAAACAGCCTGTCGCACCATTCTTGGCAGGGACTTCCAAACAATACTGTATGATGATTCCCTAAATCACTGTAATTTTCTCTAGTTTCTGAAGGAGTATTACACATTGCACTAAGTTTGCTAAAAATCTCCCGACAACTACCCACTCTGCAGACCTCTTACCAGTCACGCGTTTTGAAAACCATGGCAGAATCCTGTCGAAAGATGTCACAATTACCCACTAGAACCACCAATTTTATAACCGGCCCATACTCTATTTCATCCTACTGCTTAATGCTTAATATACAATGCATTTTGGAGACAATTGTTAGCAGGAG